TATTGTATAGCTATTACGTCAGCACTTAGGATATTCGGTCCAAGGTCGGGTTAAGGTTGGACGGAAGCATCTGGAAGATCTAGAGCATATTATCAAAAGGCCGAGATATACACATCTATAAATAGGAGTCTGGGATGTGATTGGATGAAATTAGTGGACTATGGATGATGTGTCATGTATGACTCGATGAGGGGGAGGGGGGGGTGTGGTGAAAGAGTACGAGGAAAAAAGAGGGAAAGAGGTGAAATGAGGTGAAAAGAGGAAAAGGCAAATTCCAGATGGAACGTAAATACGTATGTATGATAAGTTTTGATGGTAATTAGTCATGCTCTAGTTTCGGGTATTAGTCTCGTAATAGATTTCTCGTATATAGTCTCGTATATAGTCTCGTAATAGATTTCTCTCATAATAGATGTATATTCTCGTAATAGATTTCTCGTATATTCTCGTAATAGATTTCTCGTATATTCTCGTAATAGATTGCTCTCTATACTACTATGAATAAATAAATGACGATACATTCTTGGCACTATGCACCCTCTTTTCGTATGTAGCATGAGAATGCCCCTTTTTACATAATGTTCAAGACCTCGTGTATAAAAAGTATAATAACATTATTTAGCTATTATAGTTATTTATTCTCCTATTGTAAAAAAGGCTTGTGCTATCAACATCTACATTAATAATAAAGTATGACTATTATGACCGTATAAATTATGTATAAATAATATAGTACTCTATTATTATATAGTACAAATCAACGTATATATATAAAGACCATCGGGGAGAGGAGCAGTTTTGCATTTGACATATTCAATTGTACTCAAAAGCATAAAAATTAATTAATATTTATTGCAACACAATATAACAACGCATCTATTGATATTTTTTTTACTACACTCAAAACTGATTATCATCCAAGATATATAAACCAAGCCCCCCCTCTGAAGTCTTTCTCACTCAACGGCAAAAAATCTTACGACCGTTAAACAACTTTTAAAAGAAGAAAAGAACGCAAAACAGCGACAATTACTTCAAATATCTATATCTCTAAGCACAGTTCTACATCAACAACGTTACGAAATACATCTATCCCACTCTCTATGACTGCACTAGCCGGAAACAACTTTCTTAGCGTGCCCTACATGGAATCACTCGACAGTCTCAACTGTGCCCTCAACCAAAACTCATTCGATAACGTCGACTCGACAGACTCTTTCCTAAAGTCTGAGCTTTTCCCGCAGAAGAGTACGTGCGCAGTTGCGTCTACTCCCAGCAATAACACGAATAACAATAATAATAACAATAACAGCAATAGCAATAGCAATAGCAATAGCAACACCAATAGCAATAGCAACACCAGCACTAACAGCAGCAATCAACAACAGAATGCAACGGCATTCGTATACAGCAACGAACAGTCCAATACCAATGCTAAACGTGCCCCTATCTCTGCCTCGACAAACAAGATTAGCAACAGTTCGCCCTCAAATGCCTCGTCAGCAATAGACAGTGGCATATCCATCAAGTCTGAAGATTACAGTTACGGCATGCTGGATGTCGACTCGGCAGTTTCCAGCGCAGGCTCTTCACCGCATCAGATACTACTGAACGAGTTTGACCCAATTCCACAACTCACCTACTATCCCCAGCTATGCGCAGAAGAAGACAGCACGAGCGAGGCGAGTTTCGCTTCCGCTACCTCACCCACCATGCCACCAAACGACTTTTCTTACTCCTTTTCGGACAACCTCCAACCATATCCAACCTCATATTATGACATAATCCAACAACAACCGTTCGAACCTGCGCCCACAGTACCTCAATCCATGGATCAAATGCGCTTTATCATTTACGAACCGACAAACGACGGCGCACCCCTCGTACCCACTCTCAACCAATCTTCCATAAACACAATTTGGCCGGCAATGGTGCCAACAGACGCGTTGACGCGGAGCACGTTCCAACCGCAGACCGGTGGTCTCTCATTCCCATACGAATTTGCGGCAAATTCAGTAACGTCTCCGATAGACCCCGCATCATCATCGTCGTCTCCCCAATTAGCTCCGCAGCAGACGCAAGCTGGTACAGGAGCGAATGGCCAACCGCAGCAGCAGCAGCAGACACAGCAACAGCAACAGATGATCAAATGCCCTCACGAAGATTGTCCCAAGACATTCAGTCGACTATACAACCTGAAAGCACATTTGCGATCTCATTCACCTGCTCGTCCGTATCAATGTCCAATGTGTCCGAGATCGTTCTCTAGGAAACACGATCTGCAGAGACATATCAGAGTGCATACAGGTGTCAAGCCGTATCAGTGTCCGTGTTGCCACAAGGCATTTGCACGAACAGATGCTTTACGCAGGCATTTCAAGATGGAAGAGACGTGTAGAAACTCGCCCGAGGTGCAAAACATGAAGACGAGGAGAAGATACTCGGATTTGCATTGAAATAGATAAATAGAATGGAGAGATGGGGAGAAAGGGAGGAAATGAGAAAGGAATGGAAAAGAGATAGAGAAGAGAATGTTTGTGCTCGGGTGTGTGGGGGTGTGTGCGGGGTGTGTGTGTAGGTGTGTAAACTTATTAGATGGGTTAATATTTTTTTTTCCCCCTTTGTGAGGTTGGAGATGGGATCAATGGAATGGAAAATAAAGGTTATACATTTGGGTATGGCGTTTTTTTTATTGGGATGATAGACAATTTCAAAAAAAAAAAATTGGGACAAAAAGTCTTTATGGTCCTATCTCTTTTATTCCCACTTATTGGCAATGGACAATTCAAAAAAAAATCACTCTGGTATTTGAGGATGGGTTTTTCGTTAGTTACGCATTTCACATAGTTTTATCTTTTTTTTTCATGTCACAATCTGTACATTTTTTTTCCTTTGAATTTTATTTCTTAACGAGCATTTTTCCCCCACCTCTTCTTTATTATCGGGTTTAAACTATGACCCGTTCTCCTTTTTTTCTTTTCTTTTAAAAATTCAATTATGAACGCTTTATGAATTATCTTACGCATTTTATAACAAAAAAAAACTCTCCAACTTGTATATACAGTTTACTTAGATTATATGCCAAATTATACGCTTCCCTTATATCTTACGTCGAAGAACTAGCTAGTCTTTCATAGATATTACATATGAAAGGTAATACAAATACTTGCAAAGAATGAAGATGCAGTTGTCGATGTTAAATGATGGATGGAAAGTAAGAAAAAAAAAAGGCCAATCAATAAAAGTATTTGAATAGTTTCTACAATAACATAAATGAAACACAAAGTGCAATAATTTTGTATGGGACCCGCTTGTTTGAGCTGTACGTTTGTGTGAACATGCAGAGAATACAAAATGAAGGAAAAAGGCGAACTTTCTTTTTTACCTCGTACATTTAGGTGGTATGACAGACGATAGCACTGGTGTGATGTTCTGCTGCAACTTGTCTATCATTAGTATAATAGTAAATATTGCGGTTGTTTTGGTTTGGGTTATCATCATAACAAGCATACAGTTCCTGTTACAGAATCTTTTTTTTTTATTTTTCCGATTATGACTAGTAAGAGTTGGGTATGCGAAGGGAGAGTAAGAGGGGGGGAGATTGCTAATAATTATTAGACTATACTTGGGAAAAATCAATTTTTCGTTTCTTTTTCACAAGAAATAATAAAAAGTCTATTAAGAGTGAACAGTGAACAACAATTATCATTATTGCATGTAGTTTGACCGTGCGTCATGCATAGGGATGGAGAAGAGAGGGGGGGGGGCAGATATGGTCGGGGGGAAATTGTAAAAGGGGAAAAATGTGGGTCGAGGGGAGCAAATTGATTGAAAAAAACTCGGGTTTGAATCTTGAAAAAAAAATATAGAGTTTTTTTTAAAAAAAGGGGGGGGAACGATGTGGGTAATTGGATTGAGTTGGTTAGGGTAAGGGTTAGGGTAAGGATAAAGGTAAAGGTAAGGATAAGAATAAGGATAAAGATAAGGGTAAGGGTAAGGATAAGGGTAAGGATAAGGATAAGGGCAAGGAGCAATGGTAAGGGTAAGGGTAAGGATAAGGGTAAGGGTAAAGATAAGAGTAAAGGTAAACGTTAACGGTAGGCAACGTACGATTTAGAGGGGGGAGGGGGGGGGGGAGTCAGTTTGGAATTCGATTACCGTTGCATGTGATTTGCTTGCTATGTATCGAATAGCACAAAATTTTGATTCGACAAGATCCCGCGAGAATCACAAAGAACACTGACGTCATGTACGTTGATTGTATAATTCTTATTGTTTCGTGAGCGTTTATGGTATTTTCAATTGAAAAAAAAAAAAAGGACTATGATAATTCTGTCAGTCTGGAACATGAGATTCTGCGCGATGTAAAAAAAAACATGTTATGTCTGGTATGTTATGGTAGATGACCGTTAGGTTAGGTGAGATGAATTTCGTAAAAGCAACCCGGGAGCACTTTTGACTTGACACGACCCGATATTCTTTTTTTTCTCGATCTGTATGTCCACGTTGTTTGTAAATGTGCCTCTTACGGCGAACAAGAAAAAAAAACTGGGAAAAAAATCCCACATTTTGGATCTGAAGCAAGTGAACAATCTCCTTTTTTTGTGAATGTGAAAATATACCAAGAGTGGTATGGGCAATGCAATGATGCGTATTGCTGTACTTTTTTGTTCATTGTCAAATGTCGTCCTTGTTATCGTTACGTTATCGTTATTATTATCGTTATCGTTATGGTCTTGTCGTTGTTGTATTGTTATTGTTGTTGTTATTGTTATTTTTATTATAATAATTATATATTTTATTATTCTATTATTGTCATTTGTCATTATTCTTGTTACTTGCAGCAGTAAAAGTCGTTGTTTGTTCTGGTCTGCTGTGCTGTGTGTTGTGTAGTGCTGTGTGTTGTGTAGTGCTCTGTGTTGTGCTCTGTGTTGTGTTGTGTTGTGCTGCTGATGCTGCTGCTTGCCGTGTTTGCCGTATATGCCATACTTGTCCTTGTTATCGTTGTTTCCGTAACCCGTCTGTTATTTTGCTAGTCGTTATCATCATCATTCATGCTGCACATATCCAGCCTATCAAATATTCTCCTATAGTTTCCCAAAATCATTTTTTACCCTCGCTAGCCCCTGATTTGCTTTAAACTTTGGGTTTTTTTCTCCTATTAATTGTCCTTCCCCCAACAATCAACCCCATTCTGCAAATCTTATCCACAAATGACAAAGATGTGGTCCGTTCGCAGTGGAAGATACCGAAATTTATCTATCAAAGTACAATCAGTCGTATTGTGTTCATTTGAGCACTCGTTTTTTTTTATTTGCGTATTTTGGTGTGTGAGATAGACGATTGGATGAATGGGGGTCATGATGCGGATGAAGTAATTGTCGCATAACCCTACAATCAGTTTACTTTTTATAGAAGTGAAAAAAGGTTATACGAAAATAGTAAGATTACTTGTTAAATTCAGTTTCTCACACACATTCTGGAGATGGGGATGGGAGTGAGCGTATGTGAAGAAGCAAAGCAAGGAGAAAATTGTAGTTATCATATCACATATATAGGAGCGATATAGCATTGGCCAATCGTTTCCACTTTTTCCTTCCTCTTCCTCTTCCTCTTCCTCTTCTTCTCCCTTTTTCCCTTTCCCCATCTTCCCCCTTTGAATGTAACCGATTATTAAAATCTCCTGTTTCTTTGACTTTTATGAAGATAAAGTAATTATTATGACTGCAATGGAAAATCCTGACGCAAGGGCTGTTCCATATGGAATGTGAATGTGTCATATCCTACTATACTTGAACTCTATATGCATCAGAGTGGCACTAAAATTCTATTTTACGACTGTACATTGACAATCATCATTAATAGTATAAAAAAAGAAAGTTATGTTTACTGCGCACAATCGACAATTCTCGATAATACTCGATAGTACTCGATAATATATATTAGTCATTTCACAGTCATCTGGAAGATTGACATTACGGGGATATGATTATTAATTATTTTACTCGTCTCCCTTCTTCATATCAAATGCGATTATCTCCGTGCAAGATGTCAGATGTTGATGCAATCTACAATAATAATGATAACATCCCCTTTACTCATCGGGTGTTGTGTTGCTGTGTTGTTGTTGTGTTGTTGTTATTGTTGTTGTGTTGTTGTTGTTATTGTTGTGTTGTTGTTGTTGTTGTTGTTGTGTATCTGCATCTTATTTTACAATTGAAAGTGTATATGCGTATATGTGTGTATGTGTGTATATATGTATATGTGTGTATGTATATGTATATGTGTATGTGTCGTATGTGTTGTATATGTGTTGTATATGTGTGTGTATGTGTGTATCTGTTAATGCACATTCCGACCAATCTCTCCTTGTGTCAGTTGCTTATTTCTTTTTAGCTGATAACAACGTTATCTTTTGTGTTTGTGATAGCATTCGTCTGTATGATTATCATACATGTTGTCCAGATATTTTGTTGTACGAGCATTGCACGGCCTCAACACTGGCCAATGATAAAAGTTAATGATATACTGAGAACAGATTACCATAAATGGCTATGTTAAATAACAGTATATATTTATATTTATAATGATTAAAGATAGGGCAACACAACAGATATCCTAATATAAATATATATTATGCATCCTATTGTATAATATTAACATGTGTATCAATCAATACTATTCCAGAATATTCCGTTATACTTAATAACGACCTTCCCACAGTATAGTAACACGGGTACGACTATCGTATCATTGAAACTTACTTGCATAATGATATTTGACATTTATGTAACACACAGTATCACTTAAATGAGTGTTCCCAACCCGGCATGATATCAAAAAAAAAAAAAAAGGAAAAAAAAAATTTTATACCACAATACCACACAAACCAATGATTACAACTCGATAACTTTTTTTTTTCTTTGAAAAAATTTAATTCTCTTCTCTGCACCATGTTTATCATGCAGGTTCACGGATATTTTAATTGACTTGCTCTTTTTTCTCACACCCGTAATTTCCGGAATAACACCGGCCCTAATCTCGGAACTATCAAAATCACATGGCTATGAGACATTTGCCTTTCCATTGTCGGTTGAACGTTGGGCCGAAAATTTTGATGACATCAGAATTATACCAAGTGCATCAAATTTATAAACCAGTTCTAACCGAAAACAAGTAACACGCCATTTATCCTTTTATCATCATGTGATATAGTTTGACAATGTTCTTTTGACAATCGTCATAATATTGTCCAATACAAGAAATCCATCCTAAACCATTTCTTTTTACTAGCGTGCTGGGTACTTATTACATGATTACGGTATGTCTCTTGTTATTATTATGTTTATGTCGCACAATACTTAAACTTGCTTAACCAATTCACTTTTCAGTATTCCCACTCTCAAGAAATTTTACCCGGGGTCAGTAGTCGCTCGTGCCTACTCTGTCAACCGGA